ATTTCCTGTTGCTATACTGGACAACCCACATCTACGAACTAAACGTTAAAAGAAGTTTTTTTTTACCCTACCACGTACTGAAAACGTAGGAACACATTCGAACACAATACTGCCAACTTCCTTTCACTATTCACAACACACAACCTACGAATGAAATGTTACATTGATTTATTTGTTCCTTTCCAGTACCGACAAACCTTAGGAGCAATAATTCACAATTTACGAGAGCGTAATAAAAATGGTACTATATATATAGAACCATTTTTATTACGCTGAGAACTCTACCACGCTTATAAGCAACGCGTCATTATTTGTGCAGGCTGAGTCAGGTTTCTGGTTAGCAAACCGTATACGTCATGTAGATATAAGAAATGTAACGCGTGCTCTGCTTTCGCTGTATGCCCTTCCTTACGTTAGTAATTCTAGAATGGTTAACTGAACTCTGAAGATATTTCAATGGCTTCTTCTAGGTATGAGCACCAGCCAGAGAAGAACTCGAACACGCGGCTCATACTGAACAATTGGTTCCGGTAGTTCGGTGCTGCCCATGCAGCTAAACTACGCTGAATACACTACTGCGTGTTTTTATACACTGGATTCTCTGGCTCATGATTGGACAACTGTCAACTCTTGTGAACGCGGCAATGAACCTTCGAGTTCCATAAAAGGTGGGCGATTTCCTGGATAGCTGAGCAATTCTTTAGAATTTTGCTCCATGGAATTCGTAACTCCAAATATTACAATACGCAACTGTCTTAATAAAATTCACAGACATTTCTATAATCGTACTACACACAGAGGTGGAGTATAAATGAATGAGGGGGGTGGGTGTATCCGAGTAAAATAATAAAACACGGGGCACGTCACCTATGGAAACTTACAAAATTTGCACAAATGTAAAATGTAACACACAACAACAATCGCAAAATGATTTATTCCAGTACTGTATATAAATTTCCTTACTTGTCGATATCAGTTAGTATGAAGGAAATATGTGAAAAAAAAGAAGTATGTTTGGTGTGCAAGTGCACAAGTACGTAAAAGTGACAGAAGCATGTAAAAGTGAGGGCAGGTTCAGGCACCCGACCATCATAAAACGTAGTCCAAATTCTCTAAACACAAAAAAGCCTATGCAATGTTTAGTGGAAACGACGTAGTTCCTTCACATTTACTTCAAAATCCACGCTTGGAGACAAACTGCTAAAAGCTCTTTACCTCATTAACACGACTTACAACATATGACAACTTATGTCACAAGAAATTCCTAACACTGCCATCTCCAGGGGGATACTGTGGACATGATCGAGTCACTAGCCACGACCGAACGCAAGCCAACAAAAGAGCGTCCACTAGTAGAATATACAACGAAACATCAGAAATAATTCCACCAAGAGATACAAAACTGAACAACGAAAAACAAGGTAATAAACAACAACAAAAATTCACATCCAAAACACGGAGCTCAACAACGAAAACCAAGACAACCTGCACTGTGACATAACAAGTATACACATGCCATCTGTGAGAAACCACAGCTGCATCTATTAAACGCCGCCGCCAACACCACCACCACCACCAACCGAGATGAAATATTTATCTATGGAAATGTGAAAACTATTATAAGAAAAGGAATTCAACAACACTTTAAAAATGTTAACAATTTTAATATTCAACATTTTAACTAGAACGTATATCGTAGATAAGATCCAGAAGTCCATGATAAAGGCGATTACTGAATTCTTTGGGCATTACCCATCGTCCTCCTTCTATTTAAAAACAACGTTTAGGTTAGCTACTGATATAAGCAGAAGTATATAGTAGTACAAATGTATAAAATGTTGTATATCTTATATATTTTTTTAGTATTAAGATTGTTGTAATTTAATAATGTAGATTAGCTGAAAGACTTGTCCTATATCATTGTATCATGATCTACAGGATTAATAAAAAAAAAGGATGAAGGAATGAAAAAGGTGACTGGACTCTACCTCCGTCCTCAGGTAAGAAATCTGTTCCATTGGGCCCAATCGACTGAGCTAGTCCTACCTCCGCATACCAGAACGGCACAATATATAAACTAAAAATGACATAAACCACCTGTGGGAGGTAGGGACCTGCTCTGTCGACTGGGCTCAATTGCGTAAACTTTTTACCTGAGGCTGGAGGTAGAATCCAGTCTCCAAAACATTGTTTTAAATAAAATCAGGGCAATAAATAATGTCCAAAACATCAATAATTTAAAATATATGGTGACATTACATACCAATATATCAAACTGACAACGCGAAATATACCACTGGGAACGATGGCCAACGTAACAAGTGAGAAGTGAAACCAACACCGAATATGCATACTTGATGGGAGGCCGAAATCCCGAAACACGTACTAGATATTTAACGTATCAATAAGAAACTGTGCTTACGAAAATAAATACAAATAGATATGAAACTTTTTAAAAGGTTTTTCTTTTGTTAAATATTCATTACACATTGTTTTGTGTACAAAATACTTTGAGATTATTTTTTTTGTACATATTTAGTACGGAGCGATTAGAATAATGCTTCCCGGAAACCGCACTGCCCCTCAGGCGGAAGTGTCGTGCGCTGCTCCAGTGCCGCTTTGATTCGGGCAGCTAGCGTAATCTACAAACTACTGCCGTACACACTGCATGACCCGGAATATATACTCCGTGATGCTGCTGTTGGTAGAAGGGAGCGGGGGACTAATCAAAACTACGAGTGCTCACTAACGAGACATCAGATGAAATCGGTGTAGGCTTCAACATCCTGCTTGAAAATACCTTACACACTCTGCACGGGAGACCCTGGTTTCATGTCTGACGTTATTCTTATTTCTGAAAAAGATATTCTACGCACTAATGGGAACCTTGTACGGTGGAGCCCAGAATGCGTGCGTAACAACAAACAGCATTCCCCGCGTCTGCTGTTTTCCAGGTAACTTTATTTGTAAAGTGTTGGGCAATAGGATTGTAGAATACGTATCAGTTCGAAATTCCGCGGTCCTACTAAGAGTATGTAGACGGAACGAGCGCCCAGTACTTCCAGGGAGCGGCTGGGCCGCTGTACAAGCTCACCGCCAATCGCACTGACCGATTTGGGGGCAAATCTAGGATGGCCGCAGGGCCGCGCCATAGCTCAAGCGGTTAGTCGCTGGCTTTCCGATCCCGGGTCTGGTCAAGTGGGATTTATGGTGGACAAAGTGGCGCTGAGGTAGGTTTTCTCCGAGTACTTCAGTTTCCCCTGCCAATCTTCATTCCACCAATTGCTCCACAATCACCCTCACCTATCATCTGGGGCTCATACAATATGACAGAAGTAGCCGCAGTACAAGGGACTTAGTCCCACCCCAATATCAATTAAAAAAACAGGACGGCCGCACTGTGCGGGTATGTGTACTCAGGCTTTCCTTCTACATTACAATGATAATACCTGATAAAATAAACACGGATCAAGTGACAATTTTAAAATCCAATTACCTTGTTCGAAAAAATTAATTACATTCCTTTAACACCATCATGGCAAGGCAGAGATATAGAATCGACGGTCACGTTAACAACAGAAGAGAATTTATTCTTCCGGAATTCCTGATCGTTCGCTTTCTATTACCCACACTGTCCTTTCTGCCAGTTACATACACTATATTATTGCAATTACATATATAAAACATAATTGTATTCACTTTACACCCCCCCCCCAAATCGGGCAGTTACACCGTCTTTGATACATAAGACTGGAGGCAAAGTTAAATTAATGCTCAAAAAAGCATCACAACATTATACTACAACAATCCACAAGAAGGAATTCTCCAGTACTGACTACTAATAAAATCTCGTTATTCACGGACAGAAAAATTAAGTTCGTACGCTCGTGTAAATGAGTGCATCCTCCGCTTTATTATGACGAATAGTCAAGAAACAAATAACCTTGGCCTTGATCAAGAAACGTAGCTTGCCCAGACATGGCCTCATACGATCATGTGACACGGCATGTTGTCAAATCTACGCCAGCTTGTATTTCAGCTTCAAGGCCCACATTCACAGCATTACAAATTCTTCTAGTTCCTGAAATTTACTTCGATCTTATATAAAACTCTAGCAACAAATTAAAACTGTCCATGGAAACAATCTCTTACATAAAATAATAAAAAAAAAACATTACACATTCGCGTAAGATGGAGGCTTGCATCCATAATGAAAAACGACATGCATGGTCACGTGTGCAAGCATTCATTATAGCCATTACGGGCCAACCAAGCATATCAAAGTTCTCTAACATCCCCTTTACAGTAATCATCCCTAGGAATTTCACTACCCGTCATTTGCCATAACCTCTTTACATTAAAGATCCCCCCCCAAAAAAAGAACCAACATAATATATATACAAAAGCGACCTAAAACTGAAAATAAGATTAATATAAATCACACTTTCTTGGTCCCAAACACCAAGGCAGCAACAGAATTAACGACATATATTATTTGACGGCCTTATTAACGATGTCACTTCACTGCTCAATGTCAACCAGAAATATGACCGAATGAGATTCAATCAACGGGAGAGTTCGTAGCACTTCACTTTATGCACCGTTCTATAATCACAATCCATCCAACACTTCAAGTTGTTCCTTTGTCTGCACCAAATTATACATTCTAACGAACACCTTACCTTCATACTGAGCTGTCTCCTAGTGAACTAGAATGCTAAACGTATCACTCACTAACCCATCACAAAGCATGGCAATAACCAATTACTGTCAATGCAACGCATCCCACAAGAGCCGTCGATTCTAACTAAACAGGCCAAGCAAGTAATAAACTCCCAATTTCGATTTTCTCCAATCGTTCATTCCACATTTCGAAACTGTGGACGTCTTATGACAATCACAGGCCAGGTGCTGTATAGAAGCCACACCTCCCAAACAAAGCTACCCAGTGCCTAAGAAGTAAGTAACACTAGTAGTATGGTTTGTTCATGTCTACTCACCTATTTTTTTCCAGTTCGTTATGAGTTGTCCTGAAAAAAAAATAATCAATGAGTAACACTCGTTTTCTAGCTCACACGTATGTACAACACAAAACAATAGATTGCACTGGTATGCGATTACTAAACACGAACCTGCTTCCCTGAGATTTTTTTGTCTTTGGCCTTTTCACGCTTCTGAGATCATCTGGGATCGGCAGTGTCGATGCGTATCCATGTTCGGCCTCTGTAATAAAAAGATCAAAAGAGCGTCAAAATCAGCTGATTTCCAGGCCAACAACTGACATGGGAGCCATGTTGACGTGGATTGAGACTCCACAGTCACAAGAAAAACACGCCCAAACTCACCTCTTTCTCGCCTTTCCAAATATTCCGCAGCTTGCAAAAGCGCAGCAATGCTCATAATTGTTATTTTTAAAGTAAAATACTAAAAGAAGAGAAATATAATACAAATGTTAAGGACTAAACAACAGCACAGATCCGCGCCCTTACGATACACTCCTGCATTTATTGATGTCAAACGCGCACAGAGCTTGCCTACGAGTCGATATGAAAACTGCGCTGCAATTGGCTGTCCATAACCAAACGTCACAGAATGAACCAATAGGATACTCGGTTTTATCAACTCCAATTACCTGAGAAGTCACGTGAATCTCATGCCTCGAAACAAAACAAACAGCTGGGTAGCAACCAGACGAGCCTAGGTCCGTAAATGCCAGAGGCATCTGTCCAAAATTATATAAAAATTAAAAAACAGAAACATTACAATGCTGTGACTTTAGTAACAATATTCATCAATAATTGTTTCCTTCTAAAAGAAAACGTCACAGGCTGCATGAAATGTTCGTACATGCCATTTTAGTTCCCGTAACTTTGTACCAAACTCAATGGTTGTGATCGATTATAAAAAAGGAATGGCCAACAATGATATCAACAACTTAAGAAATGTGCGCACAGCTTGCTTCTGTCGCGTTTGTGTACTTCCGTTTACTTATGGAAAACACTGTGATACTTGTGGTAGAAATGTGCTGAACATAAAATATATGTGTAAAACGTTTTCCCCTCCCATGAATATTTAGCGTGCTTCACCAAAGATGTGTGCAAAAAGGCACGTAGGTCTTCATATAATATCCGACGTCCTTGCACTATTTTAACAAAAAAGTAACTGTATCGAAATTGTAAGTAAAACTACCCGGCATCAAATTCAATGTAAATTCTTCCAGTGGGTTTCGAGTTGTAACATGCGAACAGGCATACATAGCAAGTTACGTGGGGTATGTTTACAATTTCTCGCCGCAAACGTGATAAAAGCTCCGCAGAAAAAAAAAGGCTTCAATGAAGTGCATGGCTGAATAAAGCCCTAAGAGACTTACCAATATAAATATCATGCCTAAAATTGCAAACAAAATTAATGCCATAATTAAGTCACTCAAAATTAAAAAGTCATATGGTTACTTTATCAGCAGAATTACGCAGAACTTCCTTGCAACTTATCTCTTCATTTTTTCTCACTATCTCACAGCATTTTAAGCTAACACATGGAGGATCTGAGGTTCTAGCAGCAGTGGCTATGGGATGTAGAAATTCACCAACATTTCTGTATAAGGTACTGCTTCCACTGTCAATGTCAAAAAACATGCCAAGTAAATAACAAGCAGCCTTGTTTTCTTTGGATTATTCTTACATATTTGGTGTGAAAATTCTTCCAAATAAGCAAGAAGCAAATTTGCTTCATACGATGGAAAAATCTTCTCTGTTTAGAATAATCATTGACTAAATTGCCATTTTAATCAAACTATGGCTGCAGGATATTTCCTATGGCTTAAGTACATATAAAATTTTTCGAATATATTAAAAAGTGAAACCTCTATATAGGAGTGAAAAATCTTACATCTCTGACTACAGATCAGTTTCTTTATTGACGGGAGACTCTAACATATTTGGCAGATTTATGTATAAGAGAATGACTGAATTATCAGACTCATACAATGTCCTTTCAGAACATTCTGGACTTATGAACTGTCTGTGAACTAATAAAGCCTTACGTAAAATCATAAACAAAATAACATATACACTCAACAGTAGAATGCATGTGGATTACTTTACACCATTGATGTAGCATTCAATTGTGAAAATGAAGGTTTATCACTATCAGAACAAGAAATGTTATGGAATTCAAGCTACAGCTGCAAAGTTGTTTAAAACAATCCTTCCTGACAGCAAACAGGAGGTAAAAGTAAAATCTCCAAATTAAAATTTTAACACCTACTCATACTGAGGCATTATAAAATATGATTTTCTTTAAAGTTCAGTATTTGGTTCTCTGCTTTCACTCATACACATCAATGGCCTACTCCCAAACCAAACTTACTCTATTTTCTGATACTAGGATTAGTACTACCCATCCATATATTGACTATTTTTTAACTACATGAATGATATCTTGGCTTGAACAAATAGTTTGAAGCCAATAAAACTACACTGAATTTTGACAAAATAAAGTTCATGAACTTAGCTACTGAAAATGCATGCATTTTTCTAAATATAAGGGATGACCTTCCATCTACCATTACAAGTTTAAATAGAGATATAAAAGTATTTAAGCCATTGTTAAATGCTTATCTCCCATCGCACTCCTGTCCTGCAGAATTTACTTTAACTGAACGTTCTTGACTACAAATATTTAAAAAAGTATTACTTCTGTGGTGATATAATTACTTTGTTCTATATAATATATTCTTAAAAGTTGTCTGTAAATTGCTGTAGCAACTATATACTTACATTTATATCAGTATTACATATTGTATTTGTACTATGTCATGTCCTATATCCTTGTCTTAACCATATAAAACTCAAATCTAACATGAAGACGTTGAATTAACAGTGCAATGGAATGTAATTGCAGAAATATGCTTAGGATGATAATTTCCCATCCAGTATTGGATATACAGGGGGCAAAATAAGCTACATTTTATAAAATTGCATTACAAGGGGCATAACAAAAAAAAAAAACATACATTTCTTTTAATTTCAAGTCCCAGTTGCTCCTGTACCTGTAGCGATCATGCAGTAATAAACCTTTTCCACTCCTAAGTGCCACTGATAGTGTGATTATTAATCTGTCTCTGTATTTGATACTGGTGATCATATGCAAATACAAACTTAATACTTATTTCTATTTACATTGTTCTTCCCCTTCTTCTTATATCCCCTGGCCTGTTTTGATTCAGGATTAATTCTGAATATGTAACATTTTTTTTTTTACATTTGGTATAGCTCCTTGGGCAGTCAGTCCATTGCAATGCCTCTATAAGGAAAAATTCATATTTACATTTCAACCAATGACCCCACTCTGATATGTTGGGTTTTTGGACTTTATCCATCGTCCTGGTTTTTAAGATAACAAATAAAAACACGACGTTTCGGAAACTGGATCTGTTTCCGTCCTCAGGTGAAGGAAAACACCTATTCAGTTGGGTCCCTTAGAAAGAGCTAGCCTCAATCACTGGACCAACGGACCCAACAGAATAGGTGTTTTCCTTCACCCGAGGACGGAAAGAGATCCAGTTTCCAAAACGTCGTGTTTTTATTAATTATCTTAAAAACCAGGACAATGGATGAAGTCCAAAAACCCAATATATCAGTGTGTTATACATCATCGTCAGAATCCTATAGTAACTACAATGACCCCACTGTTTGCAGTCACTGAGAAACGGTACCGTTTCTCACGGTGTTGTCGCTTGCAGATTTCTTATACTTTTTCTTCTACCCTGAAGATGGGGGCGATACGGTCCTCCAAAACGTCGGTTAACACCACATATACACGGTGCCAAATCCCAGAAGACTGCTTTCTTCATAGTCACCGCCGTGAAAGCCTCAAATCTTACATGGTATTAATGATATTACAAGCTAAAACAACTGCTGACAAATACTGAAATGGATCATATACATTGTTGCATATATGTGTCTTACCGTCATTTAATGACAATGACACCCATTAATAATGAGAAAAACACACACACTGATCACATTCATATTTATTAAACAACATATTATATGTGAGAATCAAAAGTTTACAATACCAATATGCAGTTATTCTTTACTGTTACTACTACCAAGGCTATCTACATAAGCAATGAATGATGCAATTGATTTGCTTTCTAATGACCAAGTGGTTAAGATGAACAGTCTTACATTTATTAAACACAGCATAAAAATTTGGCATGAACTTGTGTTACTTTGCTAATGGTGTCCTCACAGATCATTTACCATTATTTATTACAATCTCAAATTTTTAATCTCCAGACAAGACTGGCACTGTCCAGCAAGCTCACCAGTCTCCATCTGTGACAAACAACTAGAAAAAAAAAAAGCCGAATTAATTCTTCCTATCCTCAGATTTCAAAGAATCTGAGCTTTATTGAATAATAAAACAGTTTTTCATGTCAAAGTATATGTAATCAATATGACTAAAAGTCAGTACAGTTAAAAACAATCAGATGATACAATAGTAACTGCAGATTTATTATGTGAATTATTGATTACTGACTATTATTACTATAAAAAATTGTGTAAACCGGACTCCGTCAGCTCACACCTTCTTAATGTCATATATGGCACATATTAAGCTTCCCAAAGTGACCTTTTTGAGATTTTGCAGAATCTGGATATTCTTGTTAACAGCACATTTTGTAATTGCATGTGACATAAAGTAGATATGACAGTTTCTGCACAAACAACACTTCAATTACACAACTTGTAAAAAAAGATTGTGAATTCAAGACACAAACTGGTACAGGTTGAATTTACCTTGTAATTATACACTCCATACAGTACCAATTCAGATACTGAAAACAGATGTAATTAGAGGTGGTTAATTATACACCCCTTCAGTGGGACTGTCACAAAAGGTTGTACCACCACTGAGTCTGATGTCTGGAATCATGCCCTCCACTAAAATCTATAGTGTGTCAGAAGGTTGACCTGCTTCCACTTAAAAATGTTATATCTACCCCTGCCATTTTCATAAATCAGTGGACTCCTGGAGTATTTCGTCTAGGACCTATCCTTCAACTCACGCTGGTGTAACTTGATAATCGTGAGGGGTTCGTGTCTCCAGACATTGGGCTGCAACTTTACTTTAGATTAGTTTTTAAGAACAAGAGAAGAGTTGAAGGGTGCATTTTTGTCTGGGTTGTTGCTTACGTCTGCCAGTGCTTCTATGTAATATACACACAGTTCAATAAATCCTCTATATTCTGTAGTGAGTATTTACTCTTTGTGGTTGGAATACACGCTCAGGCAGCCAACTGACAAAGCATCATTACTGAATTATTACGCTACCGCTCAGCCAACGTAATTCAGTCAACCCACCAACGTCTTGGGTCACGACAGAACTCCCACAGGAGCACGCTGTAGTGTACTTGGTTGAGGCATTATACTACAGGCCAGAAGGTCACACATTCGATTCCTGATGAGGTCACTCGATTTTTCATTTAATCTGAGCCTTCCAGCTGCACTATGGCCTTGGGTCGACTCAGCTTCTAACAGAAATGGGTACCAGGAATCTTCCTGGGGGTAAAGGTCAGCCAGTGCATAAAGCTGACAACCTCACTGCCATCTGTGAGCTGAATGTCCAGAAAATGTGGGAGCCTCGATGCCCCAGAACCCTACGGGCCTCAATGCCCTCTTATAGGGATAGCTCTACCTTTAAGTGGCATACTCACAACATGCTTGTGATTCACTATTATTCAGTACATACTAGAAAAATGTTCAAATTAGCGCTGTGCATTGATTGTTAAATTAGTGCTGTGCATTGTTTGTTATATCCAAATATTCTTTCAGGCTGGGGCAGAATTTGCAAATAGTTTGCATGTTCCTCAGATGATGCTAGCACTATGAAGACATCTATCATGGTTCCTGGATGCAATAATCATGAATATCATTTGTCTGAAGGCATACATTGCAGTTTAAGGCACAGTGAAGAGATTAATGATATCTGCATCCAATAACGTTCTTTTCTAACATTTTCTGTCACTGGCTTATCACCTAGCATGCCACTTTTAACAGTAAAGTTATAAGTTGGCAGTGTTACATGGTAAACAGACAGGCAGCAAATGATCTGTGTCAAAAAATATCCAAAAAATGCAGCTACACGCTCCTTTTAGTGGATGAGAAAGAAAATAACAGTGTAAAACACTTTCAGAAAGAAAAACTGTGGACATCATCAGAGTGTATTCCTAACAAACAAGAACCCTGAAAGCAGTTTGCACATGACATCTTTAAATGACAAAGATTGTTTATGAGATTGAAGGCATTAATGTATGGACATTTCCTAAATGTGGTCGATGTGCTCCAAGTTCATGCAAATGGCCAATCTATGGTGCCATATCAAGGTTACTTCTTGCAAGTGACCACATACACTTATCACATTTAAGTTTGCATGCAGACACATCTGGTCTCGTTGGCCATATTCAGTGCCAATGGCCCTGAAGATGGATGACAAGCTGAAGTGAATCTGCTAGTTAAGAAGTAATATACATAATACATACCAAGGACATGAATTCAATTAAGAATCTACATCACTTGAGGTAAAAATAGAATAAAAAGCAATAGTTAAATTATACCTTTCATAAATATTGGGCACTTGTGAGCATGGTAGTGAACCCTTGGGTTCCATAAGAGGCAGAAATTTCTTGGCCAGTTTAGTGTCCGTTAGTTTTTCGATGATTCTGCTCCACGAAGTTGATTAGCTACTTGTCACATATGAACAACAGGTCTTATACCCAGCAAGCTTAATGCATTATGCAACACTTGCTGAACACTTCGCAACAGATACAGGCGTGCAAACATTACAGGCAACAATTGGTTTCTTGACTCCTAGAATACAAAGAGAGTACAGTTATATTATTTCCCTTTTCATTTACAATGTCTTGGCTAAAGACCCCTAAAAATACAGATAACAGTCAGTGAAAAAAAATGATAAACCAAACAAGGACAAAAATGTTTCAGGAGTCTTATAGTTGGAATCCACATGCCCAGCAATTCTGAAAATATTTCACAGCTGTTAAAAGATATATGGATCCTGACATGCTCCAAATTCATTTTAATGTTCTTATCAAACAACAAGTTGATTCTGAAGCAATTCTACCATATTTATGTTATAATTCCTTCTCACCTGGTTGCAGATAAAATATATCAACTGCAGAGGTTAGATAGCATCATATCAGATGGGAAGATGATCACTCACTCACTCATGGGGATGAGCCCTTCTTGAGAAGCCACCAATTGTGCAGCTACTCAAAAACTTCCCAGCATTTTGTGGAACTCGAAGGTTCATTACCATGTTCATAAGAACCGTCCACTGGTCTCTATCCTGAGCCAGATCAATCCAATTCATACCATCCCATCCTATCCCTCTAAGATCCATGTTAATATTGTTCACCCAACTATGTCTTGGTCTTCCCAGTGCTCTCCATCCTTCCGGCTTTCCCACCAATATTCTTTATGCATTCCGCCTCTCCACCATTCGTGCTACATGCCCTGCCCACCTCATACTGCTTGACTTGATCATTATAATTATACTTGGAGAAACATACAAGTTATGAAACTCCTCATTATGCAGTTTACTCCAACCTCCTGTCACTTCATCTCTCTTCAGTCCAAATATTCTCTTCAACACCCTGTTCTCAAACACCCTCAGTCTATGTTCCTCCCTTAAAGTTGGGAACCAAGTTTCACACCCATACAGAACCACAAGCAAAATTACACTTTGTATATTATAATTTTTTTGTTTTTAGACAGCAGAAGAGAAGACAAAAGGTTCTGGACTGAATGGTAGCCAGCATTACCCAAATTCAATCTCCTCTTAATTTTCTCCTGAATGAGGTTTTAATTTGTTATCGTTGTTCCCAAATATCTGAACTGTGCCACATTTTCAAAACATCTGTTACCTATCTTAATGTTCTGATTTCCCCTGCATTTTGGTGATGAGATAGCAACAAAGACTTAGATTTCTATGTGATTACTTCTAGACCAGCCTCCTTAATAGTGTCAATTAAAGTTTGTATGTTTTTCTTTATGGTCTCTATATTATCACCCAGTAGATTCACATCATCAGCATAGACCAACAGATGATGTGTCGTCCCATCTAATTTCAGTTCCACCTGGTTTTCTTGGACCTTCCTGATGGCATATTCTAAAGTAAAGTTGAAAAGCACTGGAGATAAAAGCATCTCTTTGTTTCAAACCATTCTGGATAGACAAATTATCAGACAAATGTTTACCTATACGGACTTTACTATACATTTCGTTTAAACACATTCTAATCAGCCCATCTAGTTTCATGGGTATCCCAAACTCTATCAGAATATTGTACAATATTTCCCTCCCAACTGAATCATAGGCTTTCTTGAAGTCTATGAATAGCTGATGTACTGTCTCATTGTACTCTCCTTTTTTCTCCAGTATCTGATGAATGCAAAAGATCTGACCAGTAGTTCATCTGTTACATCGTAACCAACATTGATGGTCTCCAATAATTTCATCTATATATGGACTTAACCTTGAGAGAAGAATATTGGATAACATTTTGTGTGAAGTTGCTAGCAGTGATATCCCCTGATAATTACTAGTCAGTTTTATCATCCTTCTTGTGAACTGGTACAATAACAGACTCCTTTTACTATTCATTCATTCATTCATTTATTGTATATTCCATAAATCCATATACATAGATATAGAACCAGTCACATAATAATAATCAGGAAATTTTTCCTTATTCCAAATAGACTTAATTAGCTTACAGATCTTAGAACATAATATTTTGCCTCCTGCTTGAATAAGTTATGCCAGAATTTGATCACTACCTGGCGATTTATACCGTTTCAATTTTTAAATAGCACTTTCAACCTCAAAAGGGCTAGGATCAGGGGCTAACAGCTCAGCTGTATGGATTTCTGTCTGCCTAATGACACTGACCCTATGTACATTCATTAACTGATAGAAGTAGTTCCTCCACCTATTCAAAATGTTGTGGGAATCTGCAACATTTGTCACCACCAGGTAGTGGTCAGTATCACAATCTGCTGCCCTGAATGATCGGACATCAAGTATACTTGAGTGCCATCTCCTATCTATCAAAATATGGTCTATTTGACTGTGTATCTTCCCATCAGGAGATGTCCAAGTAAATTTGTGGATGTTGCGATATGGGAACATTGTACTTTCGACAGTATGATTTTTTGATGTGGCAAAGTTTACTACTCTAACTCCATTATCATTACTAATTTCATGCAAACTCTCATTCCAAATCATTGGTTTGAAAATGTCTTCCCTCCCTACTTTGGCATTGAAATCTCCTAACAAAATTTTCATGAGGTACTTCAGGAATTTATCAAATACATTTTCTAGTTCTTCATAGAATCTATTCTTTATGTCATCAATTTTATCTTCTGCTGGGGCGTGAACATTCATAACAATGATATCACACCAGCGACCTTTTAGTATTATATATGACATCCTATCACTAACGAATTCTACCCTCTTTAACTGCTGATACGATTCTCTTATGTATGAAAAAACCTGTACCTAATTCATGATTTTCATTCCCCTTTTCACAGAAAAATGTATGGTCTCCTGCTAGTGCGATACCACCTCCATCCCATCTGACCTCCTGTACTCCCACTAAATCTAACTTATATTTTAAGATTTCTTCTGCCACTGCCCTGAGCAAACCTGCCCTATACAAACTTCATACATTCCAAGTGCCAAATCTCATATCCATTTTCATTAGCTTAGGTCGTTTATCCAAGGAATCAGTCCAGGCCCGAGGCTTTGGGGAAAATAACCCTCTTCATAACACAGTGACTAGAATTAATACCATATGCACTTTGCATGCCTATACAATGTGACAGAACAGGTCTCATATCATTATGTTCCAGTCACAAACCAAGATCACAAAATTAATTTCACCAACATGTATTCACACATACACACACAAAAGGAACAATGTTACTTTGCTTCAGTTTAGTATATACTATATTTCTTCTTCAATATGGTGAACAGTGTCAAAGTAGTCAATAAATACTACCTTCATATTTTGGTTTTTCGACAACCTGCTAACCTCACAGAAATATATTATTTCATGCTTTATATTTGAGCCTACACTCTCCTGTTTTGTTGCCATAATTACAGTTTTTCAAATTTCTGCAGCCAACATCAACCAAAACAAAGCACTTTATTCTGTCACTACTACTGAACCTAGGTCAGCTGCAAGATCAGAGGTTAAGGGGAGGGAAGATACTTCACGGTGCTCTGTAAGCTGGAATTCAACTACCCAGGGAACACAATACATAATGAAACAAGCTACTGGACTGACGAGGAAATTCAGAGAATGCCACAAGACGTATATTTCTCTGTAATTACAACTTGGTGGGGATAAGCTGCTATCAGTGATGTTTCCACAAGACAAGATAGGATAGAGACCTTTACAGACTGCCAACCTGCAAGTACAATTGGTGGAAAGACTAACAGAAAAACAGTGGAATCTCGTTAGCAACTACTCGTTACAATGAAGATGTCACAAAAAACCCTCACTCTCTGCTATTATTTTGCATTATGTGTAATGTTACAAAACTGACAATTCCAATGTTCTTTTTATTGCTACAATGAAGTTCTTGTTATAAGCCAAACTTGCTCTATTTTGGATTCACTGTACACTGCTATACCAGTGCACCACCTGTTACAATGAGCTGGGCATGGCAGGTAACACAAATGGAAAAAATTTACAAGAATTTCTGCAAAGAACTGATCACCTACTTTCCTCTGACACGACATGGACCACACAGAAGACGAGAAATTTGGGGTGGGGAGACACAAAGAAGACACACATGACCTGTTGCCTAGCAATGAATGGTGGGGGGACACACAGACAGCAGGACAGTCTCATAAGCCTTCAAATGAGGGGATCATACATAGAACAAGGTGATCTCATAATACACACAAGAAGTGCTGGGAAGAACTAATAGACTACTTTCCTTTGTTACAACATGGGCTGCATAGATCACCAAAACATCTGAGAAGAGGACTTACATAGGAATGTGATTTCATAAGCCTCAAAAATTAGGGGGGGAATATAAAGGCAGTAGGACAGACACAGAAAAACAGCAAGGTGACCTCATGAGCCTCCTCCTATTTTTTCAAAATAAGGAACACTGACTAAAAGTACACATATAATTCTGATGCACAAACAGAGTAAAATGGGGCTACTTAGAAAATCTAGGCAAGCAGAGGACACTTTGGTGAATCCAAGGGATGGGAGGATTAAAACCTAATTGAGAAGAATGCCACGACATATACATACGGTGAGGATGCGTACTCTTCTGTAATACACACTGAAGCAGCTGCACATTGCCATAACAAAACTGCATACCAGATGAGGAGCAACTTTTCCATGCTCCACATTCTGTACTGAACTCTGCAGCATACTTGGGTAAGACAAAAGATATGAGAACATTAGATCCCATTCCTCCTGTGAAAGAAATATATATCACAGCTTTCTCAGATAACAGTGCTGTGGCAAAAAAGAAAAAAATGTTCTTGTACTAAGTAATCTCTCCTTGTTGGGAGCAATAAATGAGCACTGCATTAAAGGTTAAATGAAAGTATAACCTGGAAAGAACTTACAGTGTCTACTGTATAAAACACAGTTTAGTGATGTACTCCCATGCCCTATTACACATTTCTGCAGCCTTCAAGTCCTTAGAAATAGCCTCTAAGTCTCATACCACTATGGCACCTGTACTTCTAAGTATGAAATTCCTCTAATTGCATACTAAATTTTACATGCCAAGTTACAACAGGCAATGACTCACTAGTTACCACTAAAGAGCAGAAACTAAATATAAGTTTTGCACAGGTGCCACCACCTTTTAATTTTATACCCCCCCCCACTCCATAACCTTAACAGTAAAAATGAATGCTTTTCCTGCCTCTGTAGTCTAGTTGTCATAGTTCCTGGCTACAGATCCAGAGGTCTAGGTTCCATTCCCAGGCCTACCAGATTTCTTTCTGAGAAGTAGCGGGTCTGGAACAGGGTCCACTCAGCCTCATGATGATAACTGAGGAGCTATTTCAAGGAAATAGCAGCTCCAGTCTACAAAACCGAAACTATCGGCCATGGGGATTTGTTGCGCTGACCATGCAACACCCTCTATCCACAAAAGTTGGCACTAAACTTCGCCGACAAGTGGTCATCGCTCGGTCAGTATAGTTCAGTATAGTTTGTTTACAGACTAAAATCACGGAGTGATAAAAACAGCCAGCACTGTAACATTGGAGTAAATGCTTTGGCAACACTTTCTACACAATTACAAAGTGAGAAGTAACTTACGTCTTTGGATAAAAGCAAAAAGTCCACTTCTTCATAAGGAATAAGCTGAGGATAATATCCTAATTGAACCTTCTCTTCGAACTGCCTGAGAATTGTAGCAAGGCGGGCACAATTATACAAGATAAACACAGCACCTGAAACATTAATATGATTACTAAGTGATGCAAACAACTAACTGAAAGAAGTGTGTTCTTTATATACTCTCTGCAGAGATATTATTACTTAATGGATCTTTGAAAGCGTATGCTGATTTAGCACGGAATGACTCTGGGACAAATGCTTCACTCTATAGATATGTCTCAGAAGAATTTATGAGAAGATCTGAAAGCCTTTTAAACAGATCACAGTGAGAGGGGAAATATCATATAGGTGGAGAATTGCAACAAAAATAAGACATTTTAATATTTTATGTCATTTCAAAATTTTCAAGACAAATGCTTTCTAAAAATGTACATACACCCATATCCTGGACCTTCAATAGTTAAAGAATGAAATACACGGGAAAGACAATGTGTCCACCTATTCCTTCTTAGCCTCTTCAACAACAGACTTCTTTATTACTTTATGCACATGTGCGTGTGCAAATGTGTATGTATGTTTAAAAATTGAGATAACAGTTTTGAATGAGTGACACGAACACCACATACTAAGCAGGGTTGCACAGCAGCATCCTGTCATTTGTTTGGATCTATAAAATGCATAAGTGACGAGTTTCAGCCGTGATTCGAACTGAGTACCTCCTAATATGTAACATTGTAGCAAACTACTGACTTGTGATTGTGAGGATTGTCAACTATATACACAATCCTACCTTTGTTACTTGATTCCTGAATTCCATTACCTTCTTTAACAAGGTTAAGACAGACAGTGTGACTTGGTTTAACATGAAGCAAATCAATTCTCACAGCTGCATCACCTAAGTTCTCCCACCAAGGTTCAGGCTGAATTAAATCTCCATATTTATGCATGGCCATTGTCTTGATCTCTCTGCACCGCTGTCTGTTCAAACATATGTATATTATATAAACTGATTAGTACAGTATGACCAAGTATAAAGTAGCCAAAAACAAAGAGTTACCAAGATAAAGTCTTACTTTTAAGATATAACACAGGTATCCATCAATTTACGAAGGTAATGCATTCAATAATCCAGTGTAGAAAACTGAAATTAACAGCCGTGGGGATTCATTACGCTGACCATGTGACACCCTCTATCCACTAAAGTTAGCACTGACTTCGCTGACAAGCGGCGGTCGCTCTGTCAGTACAGTTCACTTGCAGACTCAAGCCACAGAGTTACAAAGTGCATTCAACGATACTTGTTCATAAGTTGAACGTTCTTAAACTGAAAATTACTTTTTCTTTACTAAGTGTGTAAAAGCTGCTGTCTTGTTCACAAGACCCAGAGAAATCCCTCAGGATATTTAAAAAATGTTTGAATAGTGAATGAGCATTAAAATAAGGACAGTATTACTTGATTATAACATTTATTGTTGCAAATAAAACAATATTATTTTATTCACCTTTATTTTCTCATGGCTGACACAATTCAATTCTGCAGCACATTGATAAATAAACTATTGTCCTTACTTTCTTGGAATTTCAACACTTCTTACAACAACTTTCACGTATTTGGGAGCCATGATGGGCACAATAATACAAATACGTACTTATGGATAAAATGTGAGCATCAACAGTACAGCTTATACTGTACAATGATACACATGGACAGACTGGGAAGGTGNCTGTCATGAAATGTTCAACTCACTATGTTTCAGACAACAACAGATCAGCCAAAGTACACTGTGCCATTTGATTAAGTCATATTTAAGGCCATTATTACCCTTAAATAATAATTTTCAATGCACATACAGAA